TGTGATTAAGTTGTTTCAGCAAATTCCCAGTAATAAAGAATTCCTGAATGGCCTCCAATTATGTTTGAAAAAAGCTGCTGTGAAACCATCAGGCCCCGGTGCTTTGTCGTCCCCAATGCTAAAAATGGCTGCCTTGATCTCTGAGCTGCAGAAGTGGTATGGCTGCCATCTTCTAAAGTGAGGTGAGAAATAGAGTTTCTGGCTCTATTCCTTCTAATGATGTAGTGAAAGTACACAATGCATCTGTTCGCCTTCATGATGTGTTTAACCTTAGCCCTCTGTTGGAAGAAAAGAAGCTCTGCTTTGGACAGAAATAAAGACTTCTGTCTTGCATTACTAACCAAAATTGGAGCTGCAAATTATCTGAGTCTGACTGGAGCTTCCTGTGTAGTTCTTTAAAATCCTCCTTAGCTACCTTAGCTCTATCAGAGATGCTGCCAAACTCTACTTTGTTCAGTTCTTTCAGTGGCCCTTTCAAAAGTTTCAGCTTCTTGCACAGGACAAATTGCTTGTTCCCATCAAACAGTTGATCCCACACCTGCAGAAGGGTGCACCTAAAAGAAGGGTGAATCATCCACGTGTTAAAAAATTTGAACGGTTTAGAGAAGACAACATCCGAGTGGAGGAAAGAGGTTAAAGGAGTATGATCAGAATCCGGTTGAAACTCCAATTCCGCTCTGCAAGTGATGTCGAGATCATGCCACAGTTGGTTGCACATAACCCTGTCCAGTTTAGCCCATAGATGTCCCTTATTCCAAGTGTAGAACTGCCCCATAGAGGGGACATCCTCAATGCCACAAGAAATCCTAAAATCTTGTAGGTCTCGGATAGAGTAGGTAGAAGCCAGATTGCCACCCATTCTCTCAGCCGGCGAATTGACACAATTGAAGTCTCCCAAAATCATCCAGGGACCATTCACCACTCCCAATTGTTGTTAGGTTCTCAAACATCTCACGTCTTTCCCGGATGGTATAGATAGCATAGACAAACGTAGCAAAAAAAGAGGTCTGTGAGACCTTGAAAAATAATCGACAGTGAATGTACTGCCTGTCAGTCTCCAAAATAACACACTGAACACAATTAGTGTTCCAAAAAAGGGCAATCCTACCCATCGGTCCGATCAAAATTTGTAGCGTAATTCCACCCCTGCCATTTATTCTTACAATCATTCTTGGTGTACACGTTTTTATACCCATCAGTACACGCATGTGTCTGTGAGAGTTTTCTTTTGTCTGTGAAGCGCGGTCCACAGACAAAAGCTGGTTTGTTTTGTCTGTGAAATTTTCCACAGACAAAACAAGCCAACTTATGTCTGTGGACCGCGCTTCACAGACAAAAAAAAACTCTCACAGACACATGCGTGTACTGATGGGTACAAAAACGTGTACAAAAGGAATTTTTGTTATTCTTAAGCATAAACTCAGAGCACAGTGTTACGGACCAATTATATGGACGTACATATGAACGAAGGAAGCAGTGTGGGGCAGAGAAGATTAATGACCAACGTGGCTAAGAGAAAAAGAAGAGAAAAGAAATAAGAGCATATATTCTTCAACTTTACGGTTTTTCATAACTTATTATTGTCGTCACCTCCACATAAAATAATCTCAAATAATCTCCAAATCAATAAATTTGTCCTCATTCATGATCTCAATTTACCTTGTATAGGAGCATGAGCATGCACGAACTACAAAGCTAGTCATCACCATAAATTATGATTATATGTCTAGAAGTTGGAAATAATCTCAAAATAATCTATCTTTAGAATTTGATACCAGATTATTTTATCAAATAATCTCATAAAATAATCTCAATTCCTCATCCATGATCCCCCAAAAAATCCTCCACATCATCAAAATGAACCCAAAAATAATTCATGGATGTGGATGCCCTAAGAAGGCAGTTAGAGTCCTATTAATATTAGTATTTAATTAGTCCTAATTTTTTAGTATTCCTTTATCTTAGTTGTATTAGAATAGCAACTTAGTTTCCTATTTTGTTTTAGGAAACCCTTTATCTTAGCTGTTTAGAATAGCAACTTAGTTTCCTATTTTGTTTTAGGAAACCCTTTATCTATTTAAGGGGATCCCAACTACTTTAATAAACGGCTTTTTGGTTATTTAATCTTGAAATCTCTTGACTAGGTCGGGGAGCGATAATTATCTATTAAGCCTCTAATTCAGTTCATCTATTCCTCGTCAATTAAAATAGCTCCAGGAACATCATCGTTTATATGTGGTCAATCCCGTTCACGTCCTTGGACAAGGTCTCTGACTCACGCACTTAACAACTTGGTATCAGCTTCTGGGACGATGGGGACCGAATCTACTGCTGTCGATTCCCTGAAAACCATGATCGAGAGTGTCGACCAATGACAACTGGCTGTTGAACAACAACTGGCAGATCTGCAGGCATCTATGGATAAACTGCTCACTCTTCCGGCGGCCATGGAAGCCTTGTCCACCACCGTGCAGAGGTTAACATGGGAACCGTCATCTGGTTCTCCCCAGTTTGCACGCAGAAGAGAAGTCGACTCTTTTCGCCGTGAACATGAAGACTCCTTGGTTCCCAGGTTCTCCAAGATGGAATTTCCGCAGTACGATGGGGAAGAGTGACCCTCTGTCATGGCTAAAACGCTGTGAAAGCTTCTTTGTTCAGCAACGTACCCCAGCTCAAGCTCGGGTTGGCCTGGCGACATTCCATATGATCGGCACAACGCAACTTTGGGCTAATCAGTTGGATACGAGCACTTCACCAGTCTCTTGGACAGAGTTTTACAGTAGATGTACGAAACGTTTTGGCTCGCCTAGTAGTGCCAATCTCGAAGGAGAACTTGCCAAACTACGCCAGACGAGCGACCTTGAGTTGTATATTGAAACTTTTCAACAAATATTAGCTCACACGGTGGGGATCTCTGCCCGTATTCAGGTTAAGATATTTACAGTCGGGCTCCGCGAGGTTGTCCGAATGGAGGTTGAGTACCAGGATCCATTAGACCTTGACTCGGCTATGACGCTGGCCCGCACTATCGAACGCAAATATCACCTGCCAAACTATTCGCCTGAACTTCTAGTGCACCCCCAATTCAACCTACATTCAGCATCAATACCTGCCACTGCGGAATCCAACCTGAACCGACGCCAAACAAATCCAAACTTCAAAAAGATATTTCACGCAAAGGCGGTTATCCGCAGGGCAAAAGGCCTTTGTTATAATTGTGATGATCCTTGGGTCCGTGGCCATCAATGCAAAAGGCTATTCTTTATTGAAATTATGGATGAAGACCAGTCAGAAAATCAGTTTGAGCCAACTCTCTCCCTTCATGCTATGACTGGCCTCGGTTTCACTTCCACTATGCAATTGGCAGCAACTCTTCACGATATACCCATTACAGTTCTGGTAGACTCGGGTAGTGCTCATAATTTTGTACATCAAAGGCCGGTTCCAGAAAATACCCATTCAATTCATACCGGATCACGTCTCCATGTTCAAGTGGCTAATGGGGACAGAGTACCTATCCTGGGCACATGTCCTCAACTTAACTTCGTGGTGGGAGGACGCACATTTATTGCGGACTTTTATGTGCTTCCATTGGCCGGGTTTGACATGATATTGGGCGTTCATTGGCTTCAACGCCCCGACTCGATTGAATGGGATTTTTCACGTCTTTTCATGCGCTTCATCTGGCAGGGCACTCCAGTGGAATGGCACGGTCATACTCGAGTCCCAACACTTCAGGACCACATGATCACAACCACATCCCCTATCATGGAGAGTCTCCTGGCCCAATTTGAGGACCTCTTCAGGTTGCCTAAAGCTGAAAAGTGCTTTGTTTTAATCTACCAAGCACTGCCTTAAAAATTGTCTAGCTTTATCTTTAGGAGTTCCAATTAGGGGTGGGATCGGGTCAGGTTTTGGCTAGGACTGCAAAAAACCCGAAAAGCTTCGGGTCCTACATTTTTGGACTTGGTCAGAGGACCAATACTTTTGGGTTGGTCCGGGTTTTAAGAGCCTCGGGTTCGGGTCGGGTTGAACTCAGAAAAAATCGAATTGAGATATCTAAAAACAATTGAAATACAATCAAAACAATATTTGCAAATATATAAACTTCTAATCAAAAAAATATACGTAGTATATTAAAATCAAAGCAGTATATTTTCAATTTAAAAAAATCACACAATAGAAAATGTTGTAGGAGAACGATTGATTTGAAAGCAAAGTAATACCCCCTCCATCCTAAATTGATTTTAAAAGTCAAGATTTTTTGGACAACCAATGTTAAATTAAATCCCCCATATTGATATTTAATATAAGAGCCTGTTTGGTAGCATAAAAATTGGTTGTTTTGGCTGATTCTGCTGAAATTTATGAAGTTCTGGCTGAAGTGGCTGCATTGGCTGATTCTGCTGATTTAATAAAAAAAATATTTTCAAAATATTATTTTTTAATAAAATAAAGAAAAATTATATGTAAAATAGCTAAAATGGTCATCTACAGTGACTTCAGCCTATACAGCCAGAAAAGTAACTCCAACCTTACTTTTTCTGCTTATTACACAATTCAGCGCGCGAAAGCAAAAATTACGTGTTTGTTGAAAAAGTTGGTTGATAAGCCTGATAAGCTGAAAAACAGTGTTGCCAAACGACCTCTAAATTTTTATAATTAAAATTTACATATTCAAAAATTACATTAAAATATTTTCAAAGTTGCAAATCAATTTGGGATGGAGATATTATAAAATAGTTCATACCTATTGTATATAAAGATTCGATATGATGTATTAATAGTTCATATGTATTTTATATACTAGTTTTAATACGCGCGTTGCGCGATCAAACAAATGCCCAATATGATTTGTTTCAAAAATATTTTCACAAAATATATGTTTCTTAGAAATAGAAGTCTATTTGGCGAAACCTTTAAAAAACAAATAAGTAAAAAAGGGTTCAACTTACGAAAAGAGGCTATATATTTTCTCTACATATCATCTGCCATAATTCTTCTTGATGCAGCAACATGTATAAATGTATAATTGGGGGCAAAACTCATCCAAATACCTCTATTTCACAGATGCCTTTATTTCATAAACATAAATATTCAGGTCTTACCGTATCCTGATCCTAAATTGAGTACAATCAACCTATACATGTTAGAGATAAAATCATACTTTCAGGTGCCTCTCCACTTGTGCGGTCGTGCTCTCACCCCATCCTCACAGCTAAGCAGTAGGTAGCTCAGTGCCAAGGCTCTTAGACGTTCACTTCATCTTCCTCGATTTACACACGCTACTCAACGATCAACTCTTCTGGCACACTGGAGTACTGGATGGTGAGCATTCTTTTAGACCCACATACAAACATAAGCTTGCTGATAAATTGCTTTTCGAATCATTGCTTTCATGCATAAGCTGCATGTTTATATATGAAAGCAATGATTCAAAAAGCAATTTATCAGCAAGCTTATGCATTTCTGTCAATCTTCTACCAATGTATGCACCCGTATAAAATTCCTAGCATATCACAGATTTACAGCTTTGCTATTGATTAAATGAATTTGCATCTATTTATAACACCATATTCTTGTATATTTTAAGGCTATTGAATGCATGTATAAGCTAACTACCATTTTACAGAGTGTTGGAGCTAGAATAACTTCAGTTGGACCTTTAAGCCCCAACCTAACTACAGTGCAAAATTTAGTGCGAGGAAAATCTAGGGGAACTGTTTTGACGTATTTTAATTTAGCTTCAAGTAATCAAATCTTCCATATTGAAAACATGGATTTCTGCCTCTATAAGTTAACATTAAAACCTAGAATCTGTTATGATAAAAGATTCAAGCCTTCATCTTCACACAGTTGAGCAAAATCAGCACTTTCCAATGAGAAACCATAGCCTGGGTGAATAGCCTCAAAAGTTTTCATTACTATTATTATTATTATTATTATCTAAACCAGTTTTGGATTTATTCCCTTGTACTCACGAAATAATTAAGCACCTTCTATGCAATTCAGTACATGCCAATGGCCAAACAAACACTCAAAGAAACCAGAAGCGAACATGTGGCGTGTAAAAAGGAGCCGCATTGCACCAAAGTACTACTATTAGTAAAAACACCGGGATAAGAAAGTCAGTTTACTACCTGAGATCCAGTACGAGTTGCAGCTTCAATAATGGATGAAGCATTCAAGTAGCTCAGACGCGCCGGCGGAGGGCCAATGCGTACGGCCTCGTCGGTGGATTTCACATGCAGATTATACTTATCGGCATCGCTGTAGACGGAGACAGTTCGAATCCCGAATCTTTTGGCAGTTCTAATAATTCTACATGCAATTTCGCCTCTATTAGCTAATAATATCATACAGGGAGATGGAAGTGACTTGTTCTTACCTAATTTCATATATCACTGTTATTATGTCTTAAAACAAGAAGAATACTTATATTCACAAACATTATCAACAACAATTTTCAGTAAGACAGTAAACACAAGAAAGGCATGCACCAAATAGATGGTAGGGGTAAATGGCTTACCTAGAGATCAAACTCTGGAGAGGAGTGAAAACACAGCTTAGCCAAGTGTGGAAGCCTATCTATAAAGGACACATGTGGGCATTGAAGCTGAGAGAGCATTTTCAGATTCAATAACTTGTGCTTTATAGGACTCAGAAAGAGCGGAGGATTGTTATTGAGCTTCAATTGCAGTGGAAACATCATTTACTCTTTAAATAAAGAAATAAATAACTAAGAGTGCAGGGAGGTGACGAAGGGAAACAACACAGTTGAGAGTAACCTAGGCGGCGGCGCACCGGGCTTCCCGCGAGGCGGGACAAATGCGACCCTCAATGCCTAATCTAGCAGCCAGGTTGCTCGGTTTGGTGCGTTGGAATGAAGAGGAAATCGCAGAGGCCGGGCGAGGGGAAGGTCATGTTAACGGAGCTAGACGGGAGGAATACATACCTCTTGATGGATAAATGAAGGAAACATCTCAGTATAAGAACTCAACCATTCAGTACAACTATACAAAGCTGTGGACACCAACAAATTATTTACACCCAAAATAGCCTAACCTTGATTCATGATTATAATTTTGTAAAGATAAACTTAATGGCGAGTCACAAAATCGGTTGGTGACATTACTCTTGAGGCACAAATGTCATTCATATTCATATTTGACATTTTATATGCCCATGAAAATGAGTTAGATCCAAATATGTCCACAAAAATTAGTTAAGTCATGCCATTTGTAATTTTGTATGCTTCAAAAACATGAAAAGTGGAACCTTTTTATCTCACAAAGAATCATAACAGGTTATTATTGGTCATAGCATAGGGAAAACTGAAAATAAAGAGACAAATGCAGTAAGCTTTTCCACTAAAGAGAATAAAACCAACATTTAGACTATCATATTGATCCGAAGTTTATATAAATTCAAATAAATTGACTAATAGAATTACCACTTTCTATAACATTAAAGGATAATTTACTCATAAGACAAACAATTCGGACTAAATCATATTATGACATGCCTCAAACAGTTCACTAAGTAACATACGTATAGCAATAAATTTTTATATACAAATGACATCAAAGTTTAGATTTAATTTTCCATTCATTTAGATGTTAGTTGTTCATCTATTTCGTTCTACACATTCCTCTTTCTAATAGAGCTAATTCTTCCTTTTCTATATTCCAGGAATTGTAAGTTGATATTGATGACCAAATATAATCCATTATTTGTATTAACTTTGATGCAAGCAAAATTGTGAAAATGACAAGCAGTCCGTATATAATGGGGAATGGTTCAGATAAGTTTAGAATAAGAGTAAAAAGTTCAAACATCTATATAAAGAGGTTGAAGAAGTAAAATATGAAGCTCTAGTGGTATCACAATTTTGCGTATAAAAAGCCTAGAAGAGTAAAACATCTAGTTGAGTTCATAATAGGACTACCGACTTCGTCACTCTTTTCAGGTAGCATTGAGCTATCATCTGAAATAATATTACTACTTTCAAACTTAGAGTTCTATTTGCATCCCTTAAGGACATAATTAGGCTCAAAGATACCTCAAACAGTCAGCTACATTTAAGCTTATATATGCCTATATTTTCTGCCCGAAAGGTTTCTCAAAGCCTATTTGTGTTTGTTTTTTACTCCTAATCCGCCACTCAATAAAGTTGCTGTTCTGGATCATCAATTTGCTTGCATTGATAGACACAGTCCGCAGATGGCCCCCCAATGTGCATGCAGGTCGCAAGCATAAGTACAGCATCATAATTATTCACATTTTTAAGGTGTGAATTGAAAGACTACATAAAAACACACCTCTAGCACTCATAAATGACAACCACCAAATGATTAAAAGGACAAAAACATTCATACTTCGGGTGGGGTCTGCAATATAGAGCGCAAAATACATAATAGGCGTGATATCTAATTCCACATATCAAGAAATGGCAAGTACTAATACCTCCATATTTGGATCACTTGCTGCCCAAATGTTGCATATGTATAAAAAATTGAACAGGTTATTAATTACAATAAAGTGATAAACAGTCTTGCAGTAAAGAGATAAGAAGAGTAAAATTCAACTCAAGCATCGCCATTGACATAAAAAAAACTTTATTGCCTCTGTTCTACCCAATGCATCGGTGTAGAAGCAGAAACGATTACAAAGTACCTTCACCTAATAAACATCCAAGGAATATGCTTTCAAATAGATGTACATCTTTGAAATACATTATTGCCATAGTAAAAGACTAAAAGTAATTTGGAGAACTACAGTAAGAAATCATTTTTAAATAATAAAAAAACAAAAGAAGAAGATATGTCTACATGTACTTAATTGGGATTCAACCAAAGAACCTAACAATCAAACTACCTAACCGGTTGTCTAGCTTTTCATTTTAATAAATTAATGCTATCCTGCCCTTCATTTAGCTTTTCATTTTCAAATAAATCTGTAAACTTGGCTAAGCACTACTGAAGAAGACTGGTCAGTAGCCCCAAAGAAAGTTTGTAGACCGAACAATATATATCTCTAAGGGCACAAGGGGAACAATTGAAGGTGAGAGCACCTCTTGGATTTCCATCACTTGTGTTGCACGCAAGAATAGGAGTAGATAATAGCCCTTAGTTGTGAACCCTTATGCCCTTTCCAATGTCCAGCTCAACTAAAATGAACCTTTTTAGAAAATGGTCATCGAGAAAATATGTCCTTTCCATCACTTGTGTTGCACGCAAGAATAGGAGTAGATAATAGCCCTTAGTTGTGAACCCTTATGTCCTTTCCAATGTCCAGCTCAACTAAAATGAACCTTTTTAGAAAATGGTCATCGAGAAAATATGTCTCAGCCTTTTCATAATATTTTAATAAAGCATTAGTTTTTAATAAATTTAGTAAGGAATTACTAATGTATATTATATATTCTTATTTGCATATACTTATACTTAACTTAAAATATAGAATCAATGATAAATAAATCAAGATGCAATATTCACACACAATCAGGATTGATATCTGAATGCAAACAAATAGAAATAATCACTGGAGAAACATGTAACAACCTCAAGGAAATAAAATGATTTTCAATCTATATTTTTTTCTCCTAAAAAAAATAAGTGTATATTGAGAAATTTTCTCAGGAGGCATTTTTTAAAATAGTTACAATTAGTGCATATTTTCTTAAGAAAAGAACATGTATATTTTTTTGAGGTTAAATCAAGGTTTTCAGGTTAAATACAATAAGTCATTAACCTTAAATCATGGTTTTCAGTGATTTTTAAATAGTCACAAGTGGAAGTTGGAAACTTAAAGATGAAGATAACTGCAGAGTAATCGTATTCACTGAAATCAAACTATTAAATTCAAAGAATTGAAAAACCATTGCTCTTACACAGTGAAGAATAAGGGATAGAAGAAAATACCCGTGCCGCCCGTTTCTGAATCGAGAAGCGTTCTTCGGCAAATGTCAAAATGAAATCTAAACAAAATTAAATGGTAAATTTAACACAAATGAAATTAATGTGTTGAATAAAGTGGAGTGAAAGAAGAAGAAAAACTCACCGAATCATTCAATCCGGCGATTGCTCCTAGAGTAGACATGAGAGCTCCATCAGTCAACATGTCAGGAAGGTAGAAATAGGCATGAGAGCTCTATCAGCCATCAGGCCAGGAAGATTAGCGTCGGCGCATGAGCGGAACAGAGTGAGGTCTCAAGGCGTAAACAAAGTCGTAGCCAATCTGGGTTGAATGCGATGGAATGAAAAGGGAGAGAAGGAGCAGTTAGGAGAGAAGGAGACTGTTAACGGAAGACGTTTGGTAATGGGGAAATGAGGGAAGCCAGTACAATTATTTAAGCAGAATTGCTATAGGTACCCCAAACCTACCCCATTTTTTACCCCATATAAAAATCCTCCCCCACTTTCTTCTCCCCTTCCACACTCCCCTACTTTTCTTCTCTCCTCCTACCCTCTCTCCTTCTTTTCACGCACCCCCCACACCCCCTCCCCTTCCTTTCTCTTTTCTCCAAATCTTGTTTTCTTCCCCATTTCAAGATCTCCCCCCTTCATTAATACTTCTCATTTTTTTCCATCTTTCCCCCCTCCAAGCTTCTTCTGCTTCTCTCCTCTTCTGTCTTTTTTTATTCATTTCAAATGCACAAGCTACAATAATTGGACGAACGGGGAGAGCTCCGGTGATGTTGGATACATGGGTGGATCTTCCTTTCTTGATTTTTTGGTGTTTTTTCGAAATTAAAAGGGTTGTCTGTCTGACAGACAACTTGTAAGTGCAGTGTCTGTCTGTCTGTTTGTCTGTAATTGATGGTTAATTGTTTTTCATTTAATTTGAGTTGTCTGTATTTGTTTTGAGTTGTCTGTATGTAATTTGTGATGTTTATTTTTTGAGATGTAATTAGTATAACGAGACAAACATTAAATATACACATACAGACATAAGTATACACATACAGACATTAGTTTATTGTGAATTACCATTTTGACATATGTTTCATAAAAAAGACAGACTATACATATAACTAGACAGACAATAAAGATAACAAGACAAACATTATTTTTCACCACAAATTACTTACAACTCACAATGAAATGACAAACAACTAAATATGAGTTACAGACAACTTCACGACTTTTACAGACACCTTACAACAACATGGCAGACAAGTCATTACAGACAACTCAAAACAAATACAAACAACTAATAAACAAATGACAAACAATTAAATATCAATTACAGACATTTATTTTTCAAAGGACAGACAACTTCACGACTCTTACAGACACTGCACTTTCAAGTTGTCTGGCAGACAGACAACCCCTTTTATTTCCAAAATACATCAAAAATCAAGAAAACAAAATCAAGAAAAGAAGATATGTTGCTCAAGTTATTCAAAGCTTCTTGATATGTCTTCATTGTTGTCTTCCCTTGAGGTTGCATCCGAAATGGCAACCGACATAGGTCCGCCGTCGGCAACCGGCGTAGGGCCGTCGTCGGCAAGGTCACCGGTGGAAGAGGGGATAAGCAGGAGAAGATCGGAGGTTGGAGGGGAGGTGATGATAAAAATGGGAAGTTTTAAAGAAGGAGAAAGATATTGAAATGGAGAAGAAAGAGGAAGGGAGGGGGGGTGCGTGAAAAAGAGGAGAGGGAGGGAGGGAGGAAGAGAGGTGGGGTGCAGGAGAGAGGGAAGAGGGGAGAAGAAAAGTGGGGGTGTGTTTTTATATGGGGTACAAATGGGGTAGGGTTTGGGGTACCTATAGCAAAATTCTTATTCAAGCTCCATGTACACATCGACAAAGCACCAATGTTACACCAACAAATTTCTTATACCTAAAATAGACTTACCATGATTCGTGCTTATAATTTTGTAAAGATAAAAATATTCGTATATTTTATGGTTTCTTAATTACATTGAGTTTTTTCGGTCCGGGTCAGACTTAAAATTTTAGGACCCAAGTTTTCGAGTTCGGGTCGGGAATTTTAACCCGGACCGGTCTTTTTTAAAACAAAAACCGGACCAATGTCATGTATGGGATCGGATCGGTTCAGTTATTGTGTTTTAAGTCTGTTTTTCCCACCCCTAGTTCCAATGCCACCGGGATACAGATACTATTACACCAGACACTAATTATAAAAACGTAATTTGCCCTAAGTTTACATCAGAATTGCGCTCACTGAAGTTTTGGGGAGAATAGGATTGCGGTGAATTCTTTATGGCAATCGCCTCAACCTCGATGATCAGGGCGAATAATCTTCTGCGGTCGTTTGGATGCAGAGAGCTTTCATCACCATTCTCCCACCCAGTTACTCCATTACGTTTCTTCCAATCGTCAAAATTCACTCTTGAAAGTTCAAGATCACAACTTTCTATCCGTGGGGTTGCTGCAACAAACCCAAAACACACTCTGAGCGAGCAAAGCCTACCCAGAATAGCTTCATGCGATGCCCTGAAGTCGATCATGAAACATTATCAAGCTGCTGCCCTGCTGTTATTCGGATTGCTGCTTGTTAAAACCAGCTTTCCTTGTTACCCAGCATTTTCTCTACCCACACCTGCACCTGTTGTTGATTCTTCATCCTCAACACCACACGATGATGACGTGATTGTTGTCAAAGAGGGCCACGTCTATATATTTCTAGTGGTCTATATTTTCGCCTTGTCTGCATTTTTTGACTGGACTACTGCTATCAAATTTCAGGTATGGCTTAAAGACTGTTCTTTTTAAGCTTTAGATTTGCATCTGTGTGTTTGACTATGGAGCACGGATAAAAGTATTCACTGCTTGTAAGTTAGAACGTGTTGCAATGCAGCTAAAGATTCACAATTTTTTGGCGTGGGAATAAGATGCAATAAAGTAAATAGGTATTCATCCGACCCCCTTACCCCATAGGTGAGAGCCGAGGTAATGATGACGATGATCCAACTTTTGAGTTGGTATCTCCCAAATCAATATAGCTTTTGTCCGAAAAGGAACCTCTAATACTAGTTTTTACAGAATTCTAGTAGTGATAATCAAGGTTTAAAAAGGTGGGTTCGGGTATCAAGACGGCTTATTCCGAAGAGCCGAGGCGTAAGCCTCAAAATATACAGACATATAAAACTTAAAATAGTTAAACTTAAGAAAGAGCTCATGAAGTAAAGGATATCCATAATTATAAGTCCAAAAAGTGTGAGACACAAACAGATGTGACCTATTACAAGCAAGTCACTAGACTTCAAACACACAAAAATTAACATCTCACAGAAACAGACATATCACAGTCTCACAAACACACAGAAACATCACACACAAACTGAAACATCACATACAACCAGACCATGGTTGTCAATTGCGCGCCATGGCGCTTGCGCCATGCGCCATGAGGCGTGGAAAAGGCCTCTGCGCCATAAAATGGGCTGTGGCGTTGGGTATACACATGGCGTTGCCATTGTGTCGCCATCGCCATTTTATCGCCATGGCGATGCGTAGGTTATTTTAAAAAAACTGCGGACATTTGGTTTGGGATTTCGGGTCTGTTGGGCCTGCTGAACGCTAACTTAATAAAACTGAATAAAATTTAATATTTCAGCCCATTATAAACACACAAAGCCCATTATTAACAACCCTAACAAAAAAATTAAACAAACAAAGCCTGCGGAGTGCGGACAGTAGAGGTTAAAGATGGCAGTTTGCGACAAAAATTTCTTAACTTGGATACAAGTTATAACATTCCCTAAAAATTTCTTAGTTATAACATTCATAACTAAGAAATTTATCAAAGCCATTAGACAACTTTAGTATAGCTTTAGTTAAATCCTTCTGTTGTATAAAAAAAATAGCTTTAGTTAAAACTCTTAGGCTTCAATGAAGTTTAGCTGTTTATAGCTAAAAAAAACAGTTCTCATTTGAAGTTTAGTTTAATTTAACTAAGTAACTAACTGAAGAACAATAGTTTAGTTTAACCAACTGAAAGAGTTTTGACTTTATAGTTTATGTTAAAATGAAGTTTTTACTTTATAGTTTTTACTTCAGCAGTTCAGCTAACTTTATAGTTTATACAGTTATAAAGTACTCTTATAACTTTAGTTTACAAACAATTTTCTTAGCACTTGACAGTTGACACTCTTAAACTGTATGTTAGCAGTTGGCACCTATATGTACTTTATAATATTATAAAGTTGATGAGGATGGTGTGCCATTGCTCTCAGATTCAGACCAAGATGATGAGGAGTGCAATGATTGATGATGATTATGCCATAATCATTAAACAAAAACAAGCTAACAAGCCTAAATCCTAACATATTTTGCAAGACATGAGACTTTTTTTTGAATATTATCTTTTTGGAAGTACTTTAAACTATTTTAACTTCACATGTTTTGCTTAGAATGTTGTTATTCAACCTTTTTATCATGTTTTGGTGGTTGGGTTGATGAATTGCAGTGTCTATCATTCATTTTGAAGTTTTTTTTGTCACGTGGTGGCGCCATATTTGTGCCATGCGCCGTGGGAAATGGCTTGTGCGCCATGGATTGTGCCATGCGCCATGACAACTATGAACCAGACACATCACACAATTGACATAGTTCAAAAATCTTGAAGGCATGAATCTTCATCATCATGACAGGAAAGCTCTTCGGAAGAATAATCATATCTTAGGGCCTTATCGCCATCATCACTATCAAAATCATCCCATTCTCCCTCCTCATACTCTTCATCTTCATCATCATCATCATCATCATCATCATTCGCCTCCACTACTTGTTTATTTTTCTTATTGTTTCCTTGGTTACCCATCCGCTTGCTTGAACTTTCTTTTGTTTGAGCTTCCTGTGATGGTTGACCTCCAAAAAGATCGACATCAAGGTCATCCCTAAACGTGTTTGGTTCAACACCATTTTCACCTACCAGCCATTGATCATCAGATGGCAAGTCATCAACCAACAGATTTTCCTCTTCATTGGTTAGGGATCTCAGTTTAAGATGTCGATCTTTAAGTCTTTTGTTGAACATTATATACACCAAAGAGTTCATCCTAATTGTTGTCAAGTGATTTCTTCTCTTGGTGTGTACTTGATTGAAAGTACTCCAATTTCGCTCACAGTCGGATGATGAACAAGTAAGATGTAGTACTTCTATTGCAAAAGTTTGAAGCTCAGGAGTGCCATCTCCGTATTGAATCCACCATTCAACTGAAAAGAAGAAAACATTTCTTGAACTATAAAGCTTAAGTGTGCAGAAACAATTGTAGGCAGAAAGCTCAAGTGTCATCTCTATATTTCTTAAAAAGGCTAAAATGTACAATTTTGAAAAGAAAATATCAGATGTTTTAATTTTAAATG